AACAATTAATTGACCAATAAACAGTTTTAGTCTGTTTGATAAAACCTTTGAGAGGATTTTGTAGTCGGTACATAAAAGAGCCACTGGTCTCCAGTTTTTTAAAGAGGTCAAATCTCCTTTTTTAGGAAGCAGAGAGAGAACTGCACGCCTGGAGGAAGCTGGGAGCATCCCCTTTTCAAAACATTCTTTAAAAACATCCAAAATGTCCTGTCCCATAAGACTCCAAAAATGCTTAAAAAAGTCTGATGATAATCCATCTATTCCAGGAGCCTTTCCTGACGCCATCTGAGACACCACAGCAGTTAGTTCGTCATGAGTCAGCTCAGAGCTGAGCGTGTTCTGTCCCTCTGAGCTCAGCTGAGGAAGTCCCTGCAGAAGCTCTGCAGCAGAATCCACATCACATTCATCAGCCCTGAACAAATCCGTGTAGAAATCCACTGCATGCTTCCTCATCTCAGCCGGCTCTGTGGTCACCTTTCCCTCAGGAAGCCGCAGACACAACATCTGTTTTCTCTTTACCACTGATTTTTCCAAACTGAAAAAGAAGGCAGTGGGTGCGTCTATGTCCTGGAGTTTGGTGAAACGGGCTCGGACTAAAGCTCCTTTGGCTCTTTCTTGCATAAAGGAGTTAAGCTCCTGTCTTTTTTCTTTTAGGCTGGCATTATTCTGCGGATCAGCTTGTGAGACACTTTCCAAGTCTGTTATCTCTTTTTCTAAATTCTCCACTACTCTCTTAATGTTGGCTGTTGAATAGGAGGTGTATTGTTGACAAAAAACCTTAATTTGGGCTTTTCCTACCTCCCACCACTGAGTAAGGGAAGAAAACCCATCTTTCCTAGATCTCCAGTAAGCCCAAAACATTTTAAATTGTTCACAGAAATTCAAATCCTGTAATAATCTATTATTAAAATGCCAAAAAGATCTGGGTTTTCCGTTGGAAGATAAGATCAGCTCCATCAAAACTAAATGATGGTCTGTGAAAGCCACAGGGATGATCTGACAGTTTGTAACCCTAGCAGAAAAGGCCTTGGGTAAATAAAACCTGTCCACTCTGGCTGCACTAACTCTACCATCTGATATTTTAACCCATGTGTATTGCTTGCATGTAGGATGCATCATCCTCCACACATCCACTAAATCACTTTTCTTTAGAACATGAGACAATACAGAGGAAGACTGAAAATGTGGCTCAACTCCAGTCCTATCCAAAGTAAAGTCAGTGCAACAGTTCCAGTCTCCACCCAAAACAATAAACTCCCCTTGACCAATATCACTTATTCTCTCTTCCAATACTTTAAAGATCTCTTCACGCTCAGAGCCTTGGTTTGGTGCATACACATTAATAAAGCTAATCAGAAACTCATCTATTTCAGCTTTCACTAGAATAACTCTACCCTTCACTTCCTCTGTGCTGGATATTATTTTTATATTTAAAAGCGGGGAGAATAAAATAGCTACTCCTGCACTCAAATGTGTCCCATGGCTAAGGACATGCGGTCCCCCCCACCATAGACCCCAGTCAGTTTCATTTATGCTGTCACTGTGAGTTTCTTGTAGAAATACTACATCTAGCTTTTTCTGTTGAATAACTTCTGTTACTAAGGCTCTCTTTTGAGCGTCTCTGCCCCCATTCATATTTAATGAGGCTACCCTTAAACCCTGAATATGAGGAGAAGAGAGACAGGCCATTAAGAAAAAAGATAGAAAAAGACAGTAAGGAGGAAACACCCGGTGTTGTATGATCATCATTTACGACTCCTTTTTTTAGCCACGTTGGTCTTTTTGTTTAAAGCTTTCCTCAGTGTAGTGATGTGTTTCTTGAGGCGATACCGTTTTTTTTTCATCAAGTAAGTCTAGCCCAACAACCTTCTGAATTGTCGTGGCTGACTTAACAAACTTTTCAACATCAGGGAAATAATTATTTACATTTACTGATTTCCCAAAAGTTTCATCCAGAAACTCCTGGATCTGTTCAAAAGAGTAGAGATCCTCACTCTGAGAAACACTGTCAGCTACGGAGACACTATCTGATTCAGAGTCAGACTCCATGTCTACTCCATCATAACCAGCTGATTTCCCCCCCTGCTCTGCCTCACTGTCCAGTTTTTGTGACAGCTGAGCCTGTTTCCCAGAGACCCCCTGCAGCTCCCGCTCTGAGCACTCCATCACATCCTCTCTGCATCCAGCCCTGACCTGAGCCTCATCCTCCACAACTGCTTTCATATTAATCCCCGCAAACAACGGCCTAACACCCACAGAAACTGCGGCTTTAACTGCCGTCATGGGACCAAACACAAACCCGCCTGGCACCACTGCTGCGGGTAACACAGGCACGGGCACTGGGCACAGTGCGGGTACAGCGGGTGCAGCCGGTGCAGCGGATGCAGGTGCAGCAGGAGCGGGCATGGCAGCTCCCGGTGCTGCAGCCGCGTGCACGGCTGCACCGGGCGCGGGCACGGCGGCCCCGGCGGCTGCAGACACGAGCACGTCTGCCCCGGAAACAGGGGCTGTAGCTCCGGTAGCTCCGGCAACTCCCCGCACGGGCCGAGCAATCCCGCTGGTTCCCTCTCCACTCTCATTCACAATATTTCCTTCCAAAAGAAGTGCTGCTATCAGTCTCTGTGGACAAGCGATCCTCTTGTGCCCCACATCACCACACCCAAAACACTTGACACTGCCAGCACTCGCATACACCATATAAAAACCCTCCTCATATTTAATACGGAAAGACACATCCAGTGTTTGTGATGTGCAGTCCAGAAACATGAACACCTGTCTCCGCAGAGACTGGACGTGCTTCAGCTTAGTGTCTTTACAGCCCAGACTCACCGTGCGGAAACCACTCGCCATTCTCCCGTAGCGTTTGAGCTCTTTCTCCAGCGTTTCATTAGGAATAAATGGAGGGACTCCCGATATGGTAATCCGGGTAGAAGGCACTGCCAGCGGGGACACCTGTATAAACTCATCATTTATGTTTAAGCCACTTTCAATTAACTGGCTGACCAACTCCTGCTTCTTTACAAAAACCACCACAGCTTTATTCATGCGGGATGCGTAGGAGATGTTTCCGTGTCCCACCTGCTCCCCCACCGCCAGCAGCACACTCTCCACCGTGCCGTTCTCCTGAGGGATCACCCTCACCCCGTGTCGCAGGGACGGTATCTCACAGGAAGCCATCCCTGCAGAGAAACACGCTTCTCTCACGGAAGAAACACTAAACCACACTCACAACAAACAAGACCAATAAACAATCATACAATAAACAAAGTAGAGGAAGAAAAAAGAGAAAACCTTTACGAAAAGTTACCATCAAACCTCACCACCAATAACTTGTATATAGACTTGTACTGCACTATTCCACATCATCACTTTATTTTATAACTATTTTTCTTTTTGTATTGCTCTTGCTCTTATTGTTATTATGTTGCATTGTTGGAGAAGCTTGTGACATAAGATTTTCAACTACATAATTACTCTGTAGCTATGTCAGATTGACAATAAAGAACCTTGAACCTTGAACCTTGACTGCTGTCAGTTGGAGTGATGACATCATCGTGTTCCATAACACAGGTGTTGATAGTTGAGCTAACGAGCTCTGAAGAGATCAAAGGTTTGCATTGTTCTGAATGAGAGATAAACCTCTTACATGTGAACGTTTTGTGGAAGAACGATAACAGATATCTGTGAAATTTCAAAACGTGAAGCATGTCAAGGAAGTTGAGTATCTGAAGTGTAATTTTTGTGTACTTTCGGGTTAATAATTTGGCCTTTTTGGCAGTTTAACTAAAGGTGTGCGGCTGCTGCTGTGAGGAAATATCAGCCTGAAATTACAATGGGTTTTAATGGAGACATGTTGAACGTTTTTGTCACTTCATGCCCTCAAGAGGCATTTTGTTGAATTATTTTTGCTTAATTATTTGTCATTTTTCAAGCTACGAGATGTATTCCTACGTTTGTCATGAAAGATTATGTCTCAGGAATGTAGGGTTTGGGAATTATGGCAGTTTTAAAAAAATATATGAAGGCAAATTTCAAGATTTGCTCCACTCTAGCTGTGACATCACGCACTCTAGTTAATGTTAAAATCTGAAGAAAGCCTCTTTACCAAGGTCTGAACAATGTTTAATATCTCTATAAGTAAGAATCAGATTTAAAAGTTGTGTTACACGAATAATATCAGAAAGATGTGTAACATTTTAAAGTTGGAATGAGGTTTCTGAGTGAAAGTATGAATGAACAGTTAGCAGTTGAAGTCGCATGAAGATTTGTTGAAGTCTGAAGAATGTCTCCATTGACTTCAATGGTTAAAAATGTGATGAATTATGGGATGTATCTCTGGAATTATGAAAGTTATGAATGAGAAAAGTAATAGCCTGCGATTCCCGACCGAGCTGAACGTTTTGATGTTTGTACGGAGTTTCTGCGATGTTGAATGTGGGAGGAGAAGAGGGCCAAAATAAGTCGGCGGAATAATAATAATAAACTTTTTGTCCGTAGCATAACATATAGTTGGAATGCTGTATCAGCATTCCCACTAAATAACGAACCATCTTCTAAACAGCAACAATACTGGACATTGGTGTGATAATTATGATTACAATTACAATCTCTCATATCTAAGTATATGAGGTTTAATGCCAACTACCTGTCATTTAACCAATTTGGTCCTAAGGACATATTTCACCAACCAAAAAGCATTAAAGCAAACATACCCTTACATTGGGGGTTAGCAGGCAAGCTGTCAGGCAATTTTAATAGAAAATGTAGGTGATTTGATATGACACAAAGACGCTTATATGCTGCCTGCTTGTGATAGACAGTAGTGAGTATATTGCAAGGTAAGCAAAACTAAAAGCGCAAGATATGAAAATGACTTTGTGAGCTTCATCTCAGAACAACTCTTTAAATGAAGGAGAAGTTGGTCCTTTACTCGCTACTAGTTCCTCAACATCTACGTTTATTTCAACTGTGATGAAATGTTGCATGTTTTGTACTTTCAGACAGAATAATTGCTACATCAGCTGGCAAGGAGAAGCAGCAGGAGGTCTCAGCAGCAGTGAGAGACAATGGACAGACACCTGCTGACTTCAGCAGTATCTACAGCAAAGGTGAGAGAAAAAGCCGTTTTTGGACCGCCTGATAGTCAAGACCAGGGGCTTCGGTCACTGATGGTCAGCATGTCCAGGGCTCTGTGAGGGGTATACAAATTCATCTTTACAAACCCAAATCAATCAATCCATCAATCAATCTGTGTGTTTCCATTTTGTTTGTGATTGTGCGCATGTGAAAGGTTGGTCCCTGCAAGTGATGATCAGAGTTGTGTCTCCAGTGAGATTAAAAACCAGTGTGTGTGTGTGTTTGGTGCACAGATCTGCTCCCAGCTGCAGGAGGCGAGGAGATGACCAGAGGGTTCCTGCAGGAGCTGGTTCACATCCTGTTGACCTACATCAGCAAGTCCAGTCAGAGGAGCTCCAAGGTGCTCACCGGCTTCAAACAGCAATATGTTGTTCAGTGGGGTTACTGTAGAATCCTGAACAGTATCTTAACCCTTTGTACTCTGACGTTCAAACAGAACCATTCTATTGGCTGGAAAGGGAAAATAAACAAATGGGTGCAGATGCATAGTGTGGGGGAAACTTCTGTGTAGCAATGCAGTGGGAGTCACCGACTCAGGAAGGAGACACGGTGAGAGCTGGAGCTTTTGATGTCAAACACTGATGGGTTTATTCAGAGTATTCGGCCGGAGGATTCACATCACAAATCACGAGTCAGAGGTTCTGACTTCACGGTAGAGTTGCCACGTCAATTCTGAAGAGCCTCTCTCTATGCTAGACCTAAAAGGTCTGGTTCACAGAGAGTAATCAACATCTCTGAGAGAGTAGACTAAACAGCTGGGAACACTGAACCACCTGCGTCCGACACTCATGGCCTCAAAGATTTCACATCTTAGAGTCCACAAACACCGATAAAGAAGTGCCTCAGTGTTCTCACAACAATTACCCTTCGTGCCAGACAAGTTGACCGGTCACAAACTGGTGACAACAACACATATGGCACCAAGGCCTTTCCTTAAAGGAGATAACAGATGTCAGAGTAGATCATAAAACGTCACAGAGCAAAAGGTTAGATATCTAGAAGAATTATTCCTTAACAGTTCCTCTCTTTTTATCATTTTTGATCAACTTAAAACATTAGTCTAAGAATAATTTTGGTCAATACTTAAATCAATAGGCGTCTTCAGATTCGAGTGTGGTCTCACCTTACATTCAATTACATCACGAAGTAGAGTAAGATTGAAACATTCAATCACAATGATTGATACAGCCAATCATAATAGGAAAAATTATCTCTCATCAGTGTTTGGAGCATCTTTTGTCAATACGCACAATAATGAACACACATAAAACACAGATACATAATAGCAAAATATTTGTTTTAAACTAATATCTTTTATCATTTAAACCATTAGTTAATGTCATTTATCAAACTATAAAATCAAAACCAGCTTGCAGCTTAAAGATTTGCTTTAAGGCAATCACTAGTCAAAAGCATTTAAAACTTAGGATCATAAGAGATCCAGCTAAGGTATAAAATTCACAGTGGTGATTTGATCAATCTGTAATCTGCAAAGTTGCAGTGTCCTCAATTTTAGGATTACTTTACGCTTTAGCCAAGAGTAAGGCACTTAGTCTTAGTAAAATCAATACATTCATTTTAGTCAAGTACATTGTTCAAAATCTGAAAAGGAAAAGTTAGGCAAATATTCAAAGACTTTTGTAAAAACCTGGAAAGGAAAGATTAAACATTCTTAAAACTTTAATTCATACATTTGTAAATGCTACAACTGATCTGTACCAAATTAAGTCTATCAATTATTCTTATTAGCCATACTTACCTGAACATCTACTTATGGTACTTGGAAAGGGTTCTTCTGTGTTTATCTAATGTTGAATATAGAATATCAATTTCTTTAAATTATACTTCTCTAATTTGAGGATCAAATATGCTACATAATTGTTATATGAATTATAAATATTTGTTTTGGGCCAAAACTGAAATGAATCCAGTACTTGAAACATCATGTTAGGTCTGTCTGTGCATGGGTAATACATTACAGAGTAGTGTTGTTAAGCCTGAGTGCTGGATGATTAAGGATATTAACATTATCTGTTATAATATTAGAAATATCTTATTATTCAATACCTTATAATCTGAAAATATTTATTTATTAATTTTGTTTAGTGTGAAAGTGTAATCTGATCTGACTAAATATATTTATCACCACTATTTAACACATGTCTGGTCATTGGAAATATAAAAAACAATCATTAATTGTACATCTTTAAACATCTGGACATTCAATTCAAAGTTCATCTCTGTACGAGAGCTGGAAGAACATGTCTGTCAGTCTTTCTGACTCGTTCTCCTCCCTTTATGACACCGAGTGTCTGGTGTGTAAAGGCATCCTGATACTGTAGATTAGCACTGAGTTGCTGATTGGCTCAAACTCTTCTTCATCAGAGCGCCATATTTCAACCCCCCAATTGCTCTGCTTTTGTGTGGCTCATTCAGTGAGCACTGTAGTTGATCCCCCAATGAGACGGAGGCTCATCTGCCTGTATTCCTTCTGCTATCTGCTTGAGAGCAGTGCAACTGCGTATTCCTGATGCATCCAGGTGTGTCCCCCGTGATGGGAGAGGTTAGGAAGACATCAAACTCCTCCAAGAAACATGGAACCTTGTATTATAGAAACCTCTGAAGCCCTCGCTCGTCCTGCAGGGTTGTCTGCTAGAGCCCACCGAGCAGAAAGATGAAGAGAAGCATCCCCCTCTTATCAGAAAGGTGAAGAGAAGCATCCCCTCTTATCAGAAAGGTGAAGAGAAGCATCCCATCTTATCAGAAAGGTGAAGAGAAGCATCCCATCTTATCAGAAAGGTGAAGAGAAGCATCCCATCTTATCAGAAAGGTGAAGAGAAGAACCCCATCTTATCAGAAAGGTGAAGAGAAGCATCCCATCTTATCAGAAAGGTGAAGAGAAGAACCCCATCTTATCAGAAAGGTGAAGAGAAGAACCCCATCTTATCAGAAAGGTGAAGAGAAGCATCCCATCTTATCAGAAAGGTGAAGAGAAGCATCCCATCTTATCAGAAAGGTGAAGCGAAGCATCCCCTCTTAGCAGAAAGGTGAAGAGAAGCATCCCATCTTATCAGAAAGGTGAAGAGAAGCATCCCCCTCTTATCAGAAAGGTGAAGAGAAGCATCCCCTCTTATCAGAAAGGTGAAGAGAAGCATCCCATCTTATCAGAAAGGTGAAGAGAAGCATCCCATCTTATCAGAAAGGTGAAGAGAAGCATCCCATCTTATCAGAAAGGTGAAGAGAAGAACCCCATCTTATCAGAAAGGTGAAGAGAAGCATCCCATCTTATCAGAAAGGTGAAGAGAAGCATCCCATCTTATCAGAAAGGTGAAGAGAAGAACCCCATCTTATCAGAAAGGTGAAGAGAAGAACCCCATCTTATCAGAAAGGTGAAGAGAAGCATCCCATCTTATCAGAAAGGTGAAGAGAAGCATCCCATCTTATCAGAAAGGTGAAGAGAAGCATCCCCTCTTAGCAGAAAGGTGAAGAGAAGCATCCCATCTTATCAGAAAGGTGAAGAGAAGCATTCCCTCTTATCAGAAAGGTGAAGAGAAGCATCCCATCTTATCAGAAAGGTGAAGAGAAGCATCCCATCTTATCAGAAAGGTGAAGAGAAGCATTCCCTCTTAGCAGAAAGGTGAAGAGAAGCATCCCATCTTATCAGAAAGGTGAAGAGAAGCATCCCCTCTTATCAGAAAGGTGAAGAGAAGAATCCTCTCTCAGCAGAAAGGTGAAGAGAAGCATCCCATCTTATCAGAAAGGTGAAGAGAAGCATTCCCTCTTAGCAGAAAGGTGAAGAGAAGCATCCCATCTTATCAGAAAGGTGAAGAGAAGCATCCCCTCTTATCAGAAAGGTGAAGAGAAGAATCCTCTCTCAGCAGAAAGGTGAAGAGAAGCATCCCATCTTATCAGAAAGGTGAAGAGAAGAACCCCATCTTATCAGAAAGGTGAAGAGAAGCATCCCATCTCGAACGACCTCGTGCTTCCTTGCACGTGGCTGGGGGTGCTCTCTGCACCCGGAGAGTGTGACCCTCTCTCTCTGACCCTTGGCCTTGAGAGCTGTCCTAGTTATTGGGTTACCACCTGATAGGGATGTTTTTCTGAGTGAAGACAACTCAAAGTAATGGATTAGCACATTATCATTTAATTACAAAAATAGGCCCCTCAGAATGATTTGGGAGCCTTCCTGACACATGCACATTATCATTTTGAAGGTTTGTGTTAGTCATTGAACATGCAAGAATCATATACTCATCAGTCCATAGCAGAGACATGTTATTGTAAGTTAAAGGTGAGCTAGTCCCTGTGGACATAACCCCTTCCCAATGATTCTAAATGTTATATGAATTCACCATTTACCTTTTGATAAAATATTAGTTTATCAGAAATATTTTGTCTCTTCCATAAAACATAGGTTTGAGAAATAAATTACCCAATATAAAATCAATTACTCAATATAATTGACTCTTCCCTCCCTTTTCTTACATATGGTACATATGAAATAACAACTTAGGAGTCTATTTAAGCATGGTGTAGTTTATAATCTATTAATCGAGAAGACTCAGTATCACCTGTGTGCAGCTTACAAAAAACCATTGTGAGAAACATATATTATGCAGGAAATTGATACATTTGTTGAAAAACAAAGCATATCTGATTTGGGAGGAAAAGTTTCATCCCTTTAACATCTGAGTTATTACTGAAAGCATAGCATGAATGATATTGGGTGTCTGAGGGTGTCATTACTGAGAAATGTCAAACAACATCAAAACCTTACATTTGAAAACAGGTTTGCATTCCTCCACTTAAGGTGACGTTATCATTGGAAACAATAAAAGCTAATTGTTTTGATGTAGAATCTATACATTGAATCGTTAGAGCAGAACAGAATGGTTGTATTGTAGCCTGAGTTTTGTGCAGCCTTTAGTTTTACTAGGTGGAAACATTGTCTATATAATGTGAATACATGTAGAACTAGACATTAAGAGGCCCCTGACATTAGGCCTATTTGAAACAATAGTAGGGGCTTTTACCAGCTCGCCCACTTACAGGCATCCTCTGCATAGCAGTATGAATGGCCTTAAAAACAACCCACTCTGCGGTAACGAGAGTCATGTATCTGAACCAAATGCCCTAAGTGAAGCCGTTAGTCTCATCTGACTGACCCAAGGGTTGGTGCTGGTGTGACAGGGAGGCTTCCAAGTGTTCATAGCAGATGTCATGCTTTCAGTTCATGGCTCAGTGGGGGGAGCAGACCCATGTGAGACAGTATCAACGGCTGTAATGTTCAGTTTGAGGAGTGTCATTCTCTCTGGGAGCAGGAAATGGTGTCCATTCAGA